GACGTTCCAGGAACCGGCCGAGTTTGAGCTCGAAGCGCGCTGTCCAAGATCAGATTGGAGAGGAAGTTATATTCCTCCAACGGTGGAAGCCCTTCTACCGACGACACGGCTTCCTCTATCGCGGTCTTGAACGTTGTCCAATCGATATTACGGGTGAGGTCTTACGCGACGTTAACGGATTCCGACGGATTGAAACCACTGGCAATCGAAATTTTGATCGGCAAGTGATCACTACCGTGGGGATCCTGGATCACATTCCACGTGCAATCCAACGATAATGAGTTAGAGCAAAGTGTGAGGTCTAATTTACTTCCATTCGAAGATGGTCCAGCCAAACGTGTTACTTCTCCATTGTTAAGAATTGTCATATTGAAGTTATCACAGAGGTCATATATAAAAGTAGAACGGTTGTCATCATACAGTTCCCCCCAGCCTGTACCATGGGAATTAAAATCTCCCATAATCAACCGTGGAGCAGGAAGTACTGAACATATATCTGAAAGTTGTTTTCGATTAACAACGGCTCTAGGAGGAATATAAACAGATGCAATACAAAGGCTCTTACCTTTAATAATAGCCTGACATGCGACAACTTCAATACCTGGAAATTGTGGAAGATTCACTCTATAGAAAGAATGGCACTTTTTGATCCCCAAAAGTACCCCTCCTCCACGCGAATCCTCACTATCCAGTCGAATAATGTTAAAATCATAAAAAGGAAGATCTATATCTGAAGAGAGCCAAGTTTCACAAAGAGCAAATGCATCTCAATCATTATTGTGAACTAAAAACTTAAAAGAGTCTAATTTAGGAATAAGACTTCGACAATTCCACTGTAGAATAGTGATCAAATCCCCGACCTCGTTTGGAAAATTATCCATCGAAGGAAATGATTGCTGCAATGAGGGGCCACTTCAATGTCAATTGCTTCAAGAGGGTCTCCACAGTAGGAAGCATTGCCAGAACAATGCTTTTGAGAGGATCAGAAATATTCAGGTACTTGAGAATATCGTCCACAATTTTATCACATGAGAACAACCCAGATGAAGAAGGGGCTTCTGTTCTTAAAAATGGGACATCAGGGGTTTTGGATGTCCCCGGGAGAGGTGGAAAATCATGGGTATAGTCAGTTCTTCTGAATCCAGGAGGAGTAGAAACTTCCTTTTTTCCACCACTCCTTGATTTGGGCAAGCTGATTTGGGGTTCTTCATTCTCAACTTTCCGCGAACGGATGCGTTTTCGTTGCCGTGCTGAAAAACAGAAAGAAGTTCCCTCATCAGCTAAGTCAGAGTCAGTCTCGTCATCTGACAAAAGAGAAAAGGGATTTTTGTCGTTGGTCGATGGCGTGGCCGTCTTAAGCATTTCTGCAAAAGACTGCCGGGAACGTTCCTTAAGTGAGCGTTGTAATTTCTCCCCGCGTTGTTTGTACACCGGGCATGACGAGATACCATGAGGAGTTCCCTTACAGTACACGCATTTTGGTGCGGTAGCTGCACAGGTGTCATCCCCATGCTTCTCTCCGCATTTGGAACAGCGTGCCTTGCTGCCACAGTGGGAGGCCGTATGTCCCAACTGCTTACAGTTTTGGCGGTTCATGACCCGGGGAACGAACAAACGCACAGGTAGTCGAAGTTTTCCCAGCTCGATGTAGTGAGGAAGGGCTGAACCAGAAAAGGTCACACGGAACGAGTCTGTGGGGGTAAAACTCTTTTTACCCTCGCTGACAGATACTGAGCCCAGTTTTTGGACATCCAGTATCTTCACCGGAGGAAGCAAACGGTTCTTGAAACGGCCAACCGCCTGCTTCTCCAAGATCTCGGGGGTCAGACTCGCTTCGGTGACCACACCTTCGATCTCCACATCACGAGCTGGGATGTAAACTCTGTACTCGAGCGTGAAGAGCTGGGAGGCAGCAATCTCGTTAGCCTGCTTCAGGTTAGAGACGGAGACACGAAGTTTATTGTGCCTAACCTTCGTGATTTCAGTCACGGCCGAGTATCGCTTCGTCAGATCATTAGTAATTTGCATTACACTCAAAGGTTTGTTTCTGGGCTGAAAGTAGACAACCCATGGGCCAGTCGAGTCATCTGGATAGGCTCGCGATCGGGGGTTTATCTGAGCCTGTCCTTTGCCAGACTGAGACGATGAACCAGGGAGAGATGACGTACGTTTTCGACCCTTCTTGCCATCGCGTGGCAAAGTGGTGTCATCTTCCGACAAAACGTCCATTTCGTCTTGCGACAAAATGTCAATTTTGCCGTACTAGTGGGAGCGAAAAACGCTCTACCACTGAAACGATAATCACTCGGACACAATACACAAAAAAAAAACTACAAACACAGAACACAAACTTAAAATTAACTGTGGGCGAAAGAGAGAAACAAGAACAAAAACTTATCTGATAATCCTATACTACTACCACCGAGCGTTTAAACGGCAGCAGCGGAGCGACGCGCAGCGTGGATGATCTTCGATCAGCGTGTGCGGGCGGTCTTCGTTGGTGTGTGCTTATGTGAGGGTCGGCACTCAGCTGAACACACGATGATAGATGAGCGGTGTAAATGCGGAAGCAGATGCTGACACTCGATGACGATGATCCGTGTGCAGGTATGCGTTACCACGCACCGATGGTGCGCAAAATGGTTGGCGAATTGGCAATCGTAAAAACAATTTTCCTTCCGATGATGCCGAAAACACACTATCTTCTCAGAAAAAAACTCACTTTTAGTTAATTATTTAGCTGGGAACTCTAAGCGAGAAAAAACTGACAATTTAAATCAAGCGAATAGCGAGAAAACTTCCAGAATAGCGGAGCGCGAACTAAGTCGACCGTACTTCTTGCTAGGACGCAGTGGAATGCAATACTATTAGTTGATCAGGTATTATATTGTAGATCTCCAAGTCAAATGATGTTTCTAAGATATTTCGTTCAGAGAACAGCTTGATCCGGAATTATTCCTAAAATTGATCAGGAATTATTTCAAAGAACTACAGTTAATCATTGATCTCCAGAAAGCTCTTAGGATAGTTTGTCTAGACATATCGTTGATCTGGTATTATTCTGCAGATTATTCAATGCATTAATAAATTAATATCAAGACCTCAGGTTGATAAGGAATTAGTCGCCAGGAAGATCTCCAATTGTTCAATAGATCAAATAATGTCTTTGAGATATTTTTTTCAAAATAACAGGATAGTTAGAAATTATTCCTAAAACCTTCAATTTTTCATAGACCAGTATAAAATCCTTTGGATATTTTGTGAAGACTTTTGTTTTATTTGTTTGTTTTATTCTGAAGATCTTGAATTATGAAACATATCAAATCATGGCTCTAAGACAGTACGGCAAGATAGCAGGTTAATCAGAAATTATTTCGAAAACCTTCAATTGATCAAAAACTTACAAACAGTTCTTTGGATATTCTGTCACAACATCAAGGTGATAAGGAATTATTCTGAAGATCTCCAATTGTCCAATTTGCAAAAACTAACGAACAACGTCGTGGGTTGAACAGCGAAATTTTCGTTACTTCTGGGACCATGAACCAGCAAATTTATCACGAGGAGTGCGTGCGAGGTGGATTGCCTATTCTCACAGGCCTTGGCAAGCTGCCACAACTCAAATTCCACCAAACAGTGGTACAGCGAAAATAGCGTCACAGTGGTTCCCAAGGAGATGAATCCGGTCAACACTGCGGAACTAAGGCCAATTGAGGAATACTGGTCAATTGTGAAGCACACACTGAAGGAAAATGGTGGAACTGCAGGATTTCAAGCGGAAATCGATTTGGGCAGCCGAACAAGTAGGAACAGGGCTCGGGCAAAAGATGATGGGCCGTGTACGAAGAAAAGTTCGAGCAATGGCCTATGGTAAGAAGGAAGACTGAGACAATGGCATAATACCTACTAGTATATAGCTGTTACTTTGAATTATGTAAAATAAAACGCATTTGTGTCCGGATTTTTTCGTGTTTAACCTTAATCATAGACCTATATGAACCGGACTGGATGTCTTTCGATAGAGCGAATATCGTATAAGACTTTGCTAATCGTGTAAATATTCAGATATGGATTGAACAATAGGGGAAAGCGGGGTAAGATGGCCATATGGGGCAAGACGAGCATCGTTTCTAAATCACATCTTTTGACAATTAAATAAGTTAAAATGCGTGTTCTATTTGAGCATTGGTTGCCTGTACAATACCATAGTTTTACTTTTGTTCAATATTGTTCATAGGTGTCACATGAAAATTTACTTTAAAAATTGAAAAAGTTCTGAAAATCTGCTATTGAATGTATTATAATGCCTAAAATTCATTTCTCACACAACAATTTAATGAAATTTATCAAATTTATCATAATAACTTACTTAAAAGTTCAAAAATATATGAAAACAATGTGGTTTCAAGTAAAATCTCGTGAAACTTAAATCAAGATTGTCTAATCTTTGTGTACTTTGAAACAGCTAACTGTGCCAACTGGGATTATACAATAATTATCGAATTTTCGACAGAAAAACTATTTATGCCTACAATTGCCCCTTGAGTAGAAATTATTTCCTTATTTCGAAGTTTAACAATGTTGTATAATTGTTCTTCAAGCATAGGATTATAGGCCAACCCCTTGAAGCTTCTGAATGATTATATGAAGAATTATTTTCTGGTTCAAAATAGTGGAATTTTATTCGAGTTTTATCAGGCTAGCCATCTTGTCCCCCTTTCCCATATTTTGTATAGACTACGTCATGTGATCATGAGTAATTCAGATCGCTTCATAAATAACACTAAATTTCGCAGAAATCTTTATTTCATGACGGTTTGGAGATCTGGATCATCCATCTGGTTATAAACTTGTCGTTCCATATTTTTCCTGTATAGCCAACATCCTATCGTACATTTTACATTTGTCTATCCATCAGTTGTGATTTTACATAGCCAATCAAAGAGCGCGGCCAACCTTATCGTCAAAAGTACCTAAATCATTGTTATTGTTCTCCGCAGTACCGGTGCGCAGGAGACGAGGTCGCCGTTCGGCACCGCAACACAGTGCCAGTACGGAAAATCTTGATCACTCAAAGTACCTCGCCGCTAGTACGAACAAGCCCAAGCGATCCAACATGAAGAGCAAATCCTGCAACGAGTTGAGCATCGTGGGCCGCGAGGAACGCCACCGAGCCGCCGGTGGTCACATGCGCCGCTGCATCTGTCGCTGGGTCATGTCCTACGGACGGTCCACCAACCTGTGCGAGCAGCTGATCGATTACGACGAGATGGGCTGTGCCGTTTGCCGTCTGAATTTTCACTCGGAACAGAACCGACTGGATCACTTCAGCGAGCACGGTAAAGAGTTCACCAACCTCTTGAAGGTTGGGGATCGCCGCATTACTCGCAATGCTTTTCGCCTGGAGATTAAGTATTTGCCGAAGTACTCGCGGATGATCATTCGAGTTGAGAACGATTCGAATTCTGTGCTGATACTACGATCAGTTTATCTACTGCAATTGGATCAACGGCTGGATCCAACTCTTGGCGGCGCTGTCCGAATGAACCCGGGCTATAGGTACGAGATTGAACATTCAATCGGGAATTGTATTCCGAACCATGTCTATACGGTGGTCCTGATGGCTACCATTGCCGATAGTCAGGTGGAATTGGTCGAGCAGTACCATGTGCAGATGTTGAAGAACACGAAGATCGTAGGGTAAGTTAGAACTGTCCTCTAAACTTAAAGTAAACTCATGCCATAATCCATTACGCAGGAACCCTCTGAAGTTGGACATTTTGCCGTACCATCACATTCCCGCGTATTTGATTGCGCTGCATAAGAATCACTTTGAGCACAGTAACACTTTCAATCGCTTGGCGATCCTCTGCCTAGAGAATCTTCGGTAAGTTTTTGTGCTCTTAAGTTTAAGAATTTACAAGCCCCCTTCTCATACACACAGTCAATATATCAAACAAGGTTTGACCGCGATCAACTACGTAGAACATCTCCGGCTACTTGACATGATCGAGGACTACGATCTGCAGACGACTTTTGCCACCTATACGATCTACAACGCTACTATTACACCGGCCGAGCAGATTCGGCGGTACATCATAAGCGTCGATCAGTTTAAGGTCCCTCCAACGCTGCTGGAAGAGGACGGCTACGTAAGGATCACCGTCCAGAAGACCAATAATGTCCAAGGTAGAAATCATCTGGAGTTCATCAACGGATACATTGACGCTATCAGTGATGGGGAGATCGTGGTTACCATGCAACAGCCAATTCGTTTCCACCTTCCCTGCCGGGTGGAGTTTCCGCTGAATCGTACCCAGTACAAGCTGGAATACAACGCGCTAAACCTGATCAGTCGAATTGATTTGGAAAAGTTCCTATTTCCCAAATCGTTGCCCAGCAAGAAGAAGCCAGTCCGACAAACCGAGTAAGTATCGTTTGATATTTCGAATTCATCAAACTAGGTCTCAATGCCCTTTTCAAAACCTGACAGGTTCCATTGGTTCCAGCCTACGATCGCCGCAAATCAAGAGCAAATGACCGCCATCCGGAACATCGTTAACATGACATCCTTCCCCGCTCCGTACATCCTGTTCGGCCCACCCGGGACCGGTAAGACGTCCACCATCGTTGAAGCCGTTCTACAGATATGGCAGAACCAACCGAAGGCAAACGTCCTGGTGGCCGCATCGTCCAACTTTGCTTGCGATGAACTTACGAAACGTCTGAAGCAATTCGTACCGGAAAAAGACATTTTTCGATTCTACTCCCGTTCCTGTGAGCGCAAGATCGATGGAATTGACATCGGAATCTTGGAGATATCCAATTTGGCAACTGGTATCTACGAACTTCCATCCTACGAACACGTTTACCAAAGTCGGATTATCGTCAGCACCGTAACCAACTGCGGGCGGTTTGCGCAAGCCCGTATCAGTCCCACGTTCTTCGATTACATCTTTATTGACGAGTGTGGAAGTGCCAAGGAGGTATCGGCTTTGGTTCCGATTGCCGGCGTTGGCACCGAAGGCGCTCAGATACACGCAAGCGTCATCATGGCTGGCGATCCGAAACAGCTCGGACCTGTTGTTCGCACCGAATACCTGAAACAAACCGTTCACAACACATCGATGTTGGAACGTCTTATGTCCCAGGGTATCTACAAACGGAACCGAGGTCATTACAATCCGTACGTCATTACCAAACTGTTGGACAACTACCGCTCGCATGCGTCGTTGATCCACTACTCGAACCAGTGGTTCTACGACGGTGAATTGCGAGCCCGAGCTTCACATGTGCTCACGGACTGGGCAATCGGTTGGGATTACCTCCCGAACCCAGCATTCCCAATCATCATGCATTCGGTTGTCGGTGTCACCCAAACGAACCGTCAGTCTTGCAGTTCATACAACAAACAAGAATCCCGTCGTGTTCTACAGTACATCCAAAAGATCCTCACCGATGGAATCAACGAGCGTTCAATCCGCGAGGAAGACATCGGTGTCGTGGCACCTTACGCAAAACAGGTCAGTAGAAGAACACTCATCAACATTAAGAATTTGTTCGCTTGAACTCCCGTTTCATTTATAGGTTGAATATATTAGGCAGGGCTGCCGCAACTATGGTTGGGATAACGTCGAGGTAGGTTCTGCGGAGCAGTACCAAGGTCGTGAGAAACCCATCATCATCCTATCCACAGTGCGCTCCGATTGCACACACGTGGGATTTTTGTCGAACAGCAAACGGCTCAATGTGGCCATTACCCGTGCGCGGGCTCTGATGATCATCGTGGGCAACCCAGATACATTGCAACGTGATCCCCACTGGTATCGGTTGTTGAGGTACATAGCGGACAATCAAGGCAACCGCGGTGTCGAGTTTGAACTTAAGAAGCCGGAGATCGATCTATCCGGTCATTCGTTTTCTTTCGCATTGGAGGAGGAGGATTTTGCTTAGTGTGTTATTTTGGTTCAGTATTTTATTTTCATTACGTATTTATGCCTCAAAGATCAAAAATTACCAAAAAAGTGCCATTTACTAAATGACAAGCGAGAAGCGAAACATGTGACGTTCGCTGATATAATGTCGGTTTTGTTGAATTCGTTCTACTTTATAGCTGAGAAGCAATTTATTTTACAATCATAACCCTTCAATCAAATAAAGTTATTTTTCTATATACATATTTACTTGTTGCTTCTTATTCAGAGCTATCATGTCCCAACTGGAACTTAACGAACGCGTGCCCTCAGGTTAGTGTTCCTTGAGCTCTTCCACTGTTTATTGAGAGCTGTCTAAAGCCTAGCCTGCATGGCTACAAATGGTAAGTCTGGGGGGGGGGAGAGTGCCACCTTAACAATTGTACGTTCAGTATATGCCAAATAGTGGATATTTATCGGAGTTTTGCATAGGAACACCATTTATAGTGTCATGGGTGAGCTAGCATTTAAAATGTGTTTATTTTCAAAATGATTGTCCCACCTGGCTTATATGAAAAGAACGTTTTACAAACAGTTAACCCACAATATTCTGCTCAGTTATCAAATACGGTTGCCACTGGGTCACTGAGCTCCTCACATAACAACAAACCATTACGAACAATCACAATTCATCGGACCGCCGCGATCATACGCCAATCTTTTGCATCAAAACCATTCGCACAAAGCCCCGGAAAGTCACGCCACGTCTAATAGTCCAGATCTTTGGCGTTTTGTGAACCCAGGAGAACCACCCAAGAAATTGCTGCAACGGAATACCCCCCCCCCTGAATGCAACGGAAGTTGCTACATGAAGAGTTGGAGACGCGATCAGCATGCTCTCATCTGTAAGATTAGCTCAACGAAAGAAGCGTGGGAGAATCTGCAAGGTCATCACGAGCGGATAACCCTTTCAGCGAAGGTTGGACTGTTTTACCAGTTGTGCGAGATGCGGTACGGCTTTCGAAGACTAGCACGAATCTTGGCCGAGAGTTGGAGGTGATGATGGTACTTAAGGAACGTTAGACTTTCATAAGAACCATTTATGAAATTTCGACAAAATGATTTCTTATGGAAATCATTAGTTTTGCATGTGAAACAGAATTCATAAGCTAACTTATGGAACTTAAAAAAAGTAATATAAAACGTAGCAGACCGGAATTGACTCCGTGATTTGTTTCCACGTCTATCAACGCTTGGGAAATAGACCACATGTGAACCACTCGTAGTACCTCTTATATTACGATAATCATTCAAAAGTCGTGCTTATGAAATGCATATTTTTTTTTTCTCTGTTCGGGACATAACACCACTGCGACCAGTAATTTGATCTATTGTAGTATATCCCGTGTCCTTAGTTTAGTGCATGTCGTATTACTCCATCACTATTGAGAAATGATGAAGTATTCGGTTTTGATACAGTTGTCATTCTTGTCTTCATCGCAAGGAATCGATTCTAACTGAAAGGTTCAGCTATTTTTACCCTTCGGAGTTGGAACACCCTCCAAAGGCGCGCCCCTTTGTCAGTCAAAATTGGATTCCTTAACAACAAAAACAAGCTATGACACCGATAATGACCATGCATCAGAACCCTAGTCTTAACCACTTCAAACTAGGGAACAACGATTAGAAGATTAGGAATCACATAGGTGAAGACTAACTAACTAATTTTTTCCTTGTTTCAAGATCATCCTCGGTCCAGGCAACCCGAGGACTTATCACTATCAACAAGGCATAAAAAGTAACAAGGACTAAGATGTGTTCCTTTGATTACTGAAAAATCCTGTTCCCCTAGTTTGAAGAAGTTAGGACTAGGAATCGGTGGTAGATCTTACATCCCGTAACGTACCACGAAAAGGTGATCTACCCACGTTACGGGGCTATGAAATGCATAACTCATGCATATGAAATTCATAATGAAATTAAAATTGTCCATAAGGCAGTTCTTATGAAATTCTTTTTTTTTGCCTCAGTGTATGGATGATTGTCTACGCACGTACCCCTACCTCTAAAACCTATTAAAAACTGTCTGGGTAAACTATGGCCGACTTAGTAATGGAACAAACTCTATTGCTTATTATAGCGCTTCTTGTGGACGTTTTAGGAAGCTTTTGACGTCTCCTGATGAACGAGGGACCCAACAAACAATTCACAATCACAAATAAGCATACACATTGAATAAATGCTGTATAACAGTGTACAATGCTGAATAAAAGAGGATGTCGAATTATGTGCTGAAAAAAGCTCATTTAAAGGGTGATACGGTCAAAATTTGGTCAAGGGAAAACGCGTGTAAATCGGTGAAATCGTTTATTTAAAAAATCAAATTAAATTTCTTTTTCAAGTTCAATTAGTATAAAATTCAGGAAAAATATTCAGTTAGGCTTCCGCTTTTCTAAATCCGAATTGCCGGGCCTTACGCTTGACCCCTGCCATCAGATTTTGTACAGCCACCTTGTCCACCTTCTTCGCCGCAGAAAGCCAGTTTGTCTTGAACTGCTGCTCGCCCTTAGCAGTTTTTTGGTCTTCTTTAGGTTCCGCTTGACAATAGCCCAGTATTTCTCAATTGGGCGGAGCTCTGGCGTGTTGGGAGGGTTCTTGTCCTTGGGAACCACCTGCACGTTGTTGGCGGCGTACCACTCCATGGCCTTTTTACCGTAATGGCAAGATGCCAAATCCGGCCAAAACAGTACGGAACAACCGTGTTTCTTCAGGAAAGGCAGCAGACGTTTATTCAAACACTCTTTCACGTAAATTTCTTGGTTGACAGTCCCGGAAGCTATGAAAATGCTGCTTTTCAAGCCACAGGTACAGATGGCTTGCCAAACCAGATATTTCTTTGCGAACTTTGACAGTTTCATGTGCTTGAAAACATCTGCTACCTTTCCCCTTCCTTTTGCCGTATAAAACTCCTGTCCCGGAAGCTGCTTGTAGTCGACTTTGACGTAGGTTTCGTCGTCCATTACCACGCAGTCAAACTTCGTCAGCATCGTCGTGTACAGCCTCCGGGATCGCGCTTTGGCCGTCGTATTTTGTTTATCATCGCGATTTGGAGTCACTACCTTCTTGTAAGTCGATAGTCCGGCTCGTTTTTTGGCTCGATGCACGGTTGTAGACGATACACCCAGCTTATTTGCGGCATCTCGGAGAGAGAGGTTAGGGTTTCGCTTGAAACTACCGGCAACTCTCTTTGTCGTCTCAGCGGCTTCCGGTTTTCGATTTCCTCCCGATCCAGACTTCCTGGCTGTCGACAAACGTTCCCCAAACACTTTAATTACATTTGTAACGGTTGATTTGGCAACTTTTAGCGATTTTGCCAACTTTGCGTGCGAGTAGCTCGGATTTTCGCGATGCGCGAGCAAAATTTTGATACGCTGCTCTTCTTGCTTGGACGGCATTTTGACAACTGAAGAGTGAATTCGAAAATCAAAATAGGAGCAACATTCTACACACACACACCTTCAAAATGAGGGGTGTTCAGGTTTTTTAAATGCAAAATTGAAAGAAATACGTCAAGTTGATATTGACCAAATTTTGACCGTATCACCCTTTAGATCGATAGATGCGCCTTTATTCCGCCGTTTGCTCTGATATGATTAATTTACTTATTAAAAGCTTTATAAACGTTGACTGTCTTCCTGATTCAGAACCAGAAGTTTAATCTAATAACAAACTGAATAAGTGTAATTTTCACATACATTGTCGCTTTAATTCGACTGTTTTCAATTGCTTTAATAAAATGCTTTATTAGACGTCTTATAAATGTTTTCTTGTTCCATTATTAGATTTCATTGCATTGCTTTACAATATTACTGTATAAAGGTGAATACAGTCAGCAAAATAGCTCGTATACCACTATGCGTCCATGTTTTAATGGAATGCTTTGTAAATGCTTTATAAACAACGTATTAGATTTATTATTCCACAACACTGCCCATATAGATTGAATAAATGCTTTATACAGTATACAATGCTCGAGTCTTAGTGGAATACCTGTATAAAGAGTATTAGCAATTAGTACAAGACACTGAAGAAGTCTGCACATTGTAGATGAAATACGCGTATCTGTCAAGGATAAGCAAATAAGGTAGTGGAATTAAATGGAACTAATCCTTCCCTCTCTCTTTATATTTTGACATCTATTTGTTGAAAACAACAATAACAATTGATGAATTTGATGGATGGAAATGATGTGAAAATGATAATGACTTTTTGCTACCTGCATGCTTGGCATACACAGTTTTGGTCACGAACTGCTCACTTGCTAATAACTTTGCACACAGTTGACGGAACATAGTTCTTTTTGAAGCAGTAGATAGAATAGAGTGTAAGCTTGTTATAGATATGTAAAAATGAGGCGAGAAATGCTCACTACACATCTTGTAATTTAAGTGTTAAATTGATTAGTGTTGATTCAAATGTTAAGCTTTACCTAATCTTCGCATCGTAAACTATGAGTCTAATCTATCAATTACTTAACAGAAAAAAAAATTTCAACATCTGAGTGAAAAGTTATCACCAAATGAGCAATTGGTGTGTACAACTGTGCATGCCAAGCATGGCTACCTGTCAAATCGTATGGAATATGTTTTAGTACATCATCACTTTTATGGTTTTGGATTTCAAACCTAGGTGTCGCATGCACTGGTGCAGTTTCGCGTAAATTCATCAATAACAGTGTATGTATTGATGAATCTACGCGAAACTGCACCAGTGCATGCGACACCTAGGTCTGAAATCCAAAACCACAAAAGTGATGATGTACTAAAAAATATTATATACGATTTGACAGGTAGGAAAACGTCATTTTCATTTTCTCATCATTTCCATCTGCTGTAACATAGATTCATCAATTCAGTTCATAAAATCGACAGTGAGCTTGAATAAGGGCCTATAAGGGACTATCATAGCATGCTGTCTATCGCATAACCGCAGGCAGAAGAAGCCTTCTACCGCTAGGTGCGCTAGTGGTCTCCAATGAAAAGTGAAGCCACTTTCTGATCCGAAGTTCCCCTTCTGTTCTGTGATGCAAGAGGAGCGTAGAAAAAAAATCGTGCACAGTCACCTGGAAAATATATCATTGTCCGCGTCCAATCTGGCTAAAGTGCTGAATTTTCCTAACGTACAGGGAAACCTTGACGACGAATCGGAAGCCTTAAAGTAAACGCCAGAGTGGAACTTCGTCGACGGTGGAACCACAAACGAAGTGGCAGACGACTAACTGGCAAAGAAATCCATTTAAATAATGTGGTTCACTGTAATAGAATTTTCTTGGAAGCTTGTGCCATCATCCACCAGATGGGTTAGTTTTTTTTGTTTTGATTTGAACAAAGTTGATTTTGTGTACAATGATTCTTTGACAGTGTGCAAAGAGTGTGTATCATTTTGTCATTTTTTTGTGCATTTCAGTTTTGAGTAGAGTGAAAGAGATAGAACCAAAACATTCTAGTACATTTGGTGAAAATGCTAGTTCAATCTAGTAGTAGTGTTGCCATGTGGTACAATCCAGTAGTAGTGGTGTTGCCATGTAGTACACTGAAAAATTGCAATAGCAGGTTAGTCACCAAAGTTTTCGAGCCGCTCCGTCTGTCACTTCGTTTGTGGTGGAACTGCCAACCGTCAGCTCCACGTAAAGGTCGTGAGGTTCATCAGAAGCAACCCAGTGCAGCGAATTCGCTACCGCGAAGGCTTACCGTCATATGGTCATACCGCGCCAGCAGGCAATAAAATCGATTACTCAAGCAAAATACTACAGAAGAATACCGTAGCTAGAACCCGTGCTCGAAAGCTGTATGCCAACCTGCTGACCAAGTTCGGTGGGTGCATACTTATGATGAAATCTAAAGGCCGACTTCGGACAGCTTCCAGGACCAACATATTACAATGCGAAGTTAGTTCTTTTTGAAGCAGTAGATAGAATAGATTTTAAGCTTGGTATAGATACGTGAAAAAATAGATTTTAATTCTTTTAAAAAACTGTATTTGTTTTTGCGTTGTAAAAAATGAAGTGAGAAATGCACGCTACACATCTCGGACTTTAAGTGTAAAAATTCATTGGTTTTGATTCAAATGTTAAGATTTACCTACTCTTTGTATATCTATAGTAAACTATGATCCTAATCTATCAATTACTTCAAAGAAAAACACATTTCTAGCCCCCCCCCCCCTCCTTTCGTGACGTTTTTCCTATACCGAATACATTGCTTGCCACAAAATCATGAACCCCCCAACTAACAATTTTAGCTGCAGATTAGCTTATACAGCCAAAAATTGGCTTATACAGTTAATTTTTGCCTGTATAAGCTAGTCTGCAATTAAAATTGTTTGTTGGGCCCCCTCTCCCCTTAGAGCGTGACATAATATGTGCATCATCCCTAAGTGGGCTATGTTTAGTATATGGACCGGGCTGTCGTCTCGAATTGTGATGAAGGTATTCGGTTTCCCCATCGAGATCCATTTGCGATTTCCTCATTGGGATCCGTCTGCGGAATCCCCATCGGGATCCGTCTACGGAATCTCCATCGAATTAATTTATTTTTTTGTAAACTTTACTAACCTTTATCTACTCCCTTTTGGGATCCTGCATCGGTTTCCGGTTCAACATCCAAGTGCACTTTTCTTAAACATACTTTTGTTCCTCCTGCTCCGACCATCACAAAACAAAAACAAAACAAAACCTCGAAAAAAAAAAACAAATCAAAATCAAGAAGAAGATGTGATTTGGCAACCCACGGTGGGAGTTTGAGTTTCTATAATTATACCCACCCAGCGGAGGGAAATCGAATTTTGTCGGGTTTCTAAACTAAATAGAGACCCTTTCGGGGCATCAATTAACGACCGAAATGAGAACCAGCGGTGGAGATGCTCTTAGCTGAGTCTCGGCAATTATTGTTTTACTGATTCTCAGCTAAATAAATTTCAGGACTACACTGAACCAAAACATCCGCAATACTTCGAATGATTATTGCATTGCTCGAGCCCTTTAACAATATGCATTCGAATTTCGGATGATTTTCTTATGGTTGAATTTGTCGTCAGATGATGAACGTCCATATGACTGTCATCCAAATACAGGATGATTTTCGTTTGAAAATTAGCTTTAAAACATACGGCACTCAGAGGACAAACATTTAAGAATAGTGTGACATGCAAGTGCTTTTAATTAGATTTATAACTTGATTATCTACAATTCCATACTGAATAGCCATAATAAGCCATTCCATTATGGGTACAAAAAATTTTCGTGGTGGAGAAAACCTCCTCCATCACGAAATAGCCAAACATTGGTTTTCATCCTTTACCTATGTTCGTAACAGCTCTGATAGCGATGCATATGCTTCCACCTGGTTTGTCAGCTCAGATCAGCAAATGATGTTCGATAGAATTATTTACTTCATCGTTTTGAATGATTTGCGTTATGGGGCTGAACCAATACCATATGCATTTCCATTTAGTATGACAGTCATTCTGCAGAGAGCATTACGCATTTCAACCCTATCCCTTCTCATAACAAGTTTCATCCTGTATTCGAGAGGAAAATCATCTGATTTCAAAACAACCGTCATCCGGTTGCAGCTATCATTCGAAAAAGCGATTTCGGTGTTTTGTTTTGAATGGTCTGAGGTTTCATTCGATCAGAGGATGATGTTTGTGTACAGTGTACTCGGCTGTTGGGATCTCGGCGAAAAAAATTAAGTGTGTAGATCCATAGGCCAACATTAGAGCCATTTCCCCTAATATAGGGAAATTTACGTATTCTGGTCAGTCTAAGCAGTGTGCATGCTCCTTTTTACATTTTCTCGTTCTCACGCACACAACTGAAGACCTTGTTTGCTTACATTCTTTTGCTGCCTGCTGGTTTATGTATATTCCAATCGACCTAAATGTCCAAAATGATCTATAATCGTTTTTACAACGCTTCAAACTTCCCAGGTGAGTGTGACAATTGTTGGCAGCTTGTTTTTCTTCGGCAGCCTTTCAGACATCAAAATGTAATCAGTTTGTAGCTGATTAACCAAGGAATCGTTTGAATACATCTAACAAGATGTTCTGCTGGGATAGTTCAGTGCAATTATCGTTTGAAAATGGGTTGCCGAAGCCAACATTTACCCTAGTTCTTCGATCGAAATAGCCTCGAATCGCACTTCAATCAATTCAACGATTTCAGCCGAATTTTCATTATACGTATCACTCCACAGATTATCCGAATTTTAGTACCGTAAAACGGGGTATCTTTGATAATAGAATACTTTGATAGTAGAATATAATGATTAAATTTATTCCCTGTACTATTTCCGAAAACTCTATACGATAAGATACCCTAAGCTACAAAATGGAACCAACGTTTCAAATTGGTTCCATTTTGTAGCTTAGGGTATTGGCGTTCATACAGTATAGAGGGGTTTTCCTACACCTAGAATGTTTTACATAGGTATTTTTCAAATATCTGAAAAAAAAAACAATTTTCTTATCTTTCGCCTGATTGAAAAGGCACGTATGAAATGTATTTCCGATATAGCCATCATAAATTCAATGTTGTCCTTTTATTACGTATGATGTTTCTGATTATATAGGGAAAATGAATGTAATGTCGGCCTAAATGCCCCTAATTTGGGCCCATACATAAATTCAGCAATCGACTAAATTTTCAATAGCGACCAAAAATATCCATAGTACCAATTTTTAACTTCATCCGATAGGCCGAAGTGAATGCAATTTAGAATCTGTAGGCCGAGTTTGGGATCAAGAAGCAGTGTTAGATTTTAAATAATATCACAACAATTTGTTTCTCTTTAGCTAATCTTACGGTACGGAAAGGTGAATAAATTTAGAAGTCATCTGCAGTGAAAACATTCCATTTAATGAAAAAAAAATCCACTCGAAAAACAGAGGAAAAGGGCGGGTTGTCCTTAGTAGGCTCAAAATTAGATCTAAGCCCTACTGATAGTTGATTGAAAATTTCCAAAGTTACCTCGTTTAGCCTGGTACGCAGCTGAAAAGAAAACGGAAAAGTAATTTTTGTGGATTTTTCCCAAAAGAAAATTTGACAGCTATAGTCTGCTAAATTTTGAGATTATAGGGAGATGTGGTCAAATTGTAAAATCAACACTTATTAGTGTTTCTGTTGTTTGAATGCATCCAAAACATTAGTTTTGCAATAAACGCCAACATTACCTAACGGAATAATTGATCAGACCATTGGCGTCTTGCAGTGAAACTTTTCCAAGCTTTCGCCTCCTACATTTCGAAGTGAGAACTACTAGAAGGAGGATAGTTTCTAAATTTTCCAAGTAAAACAGACGATTTTTGGGGCAAATCGGTCCATAAAGAAAAACTAATAATTTCCCGTGGAAACTTTTGCTTGCATCGTGTAAGAAAACGTGTTTGAAAACTAATTGTTATTATTTCGGTATGGATCGGAGAGGTTTTCATGGAAAATAATGCATAACAAGTTTGCACCCTCAGCGAGAGGTTACCTCCTGCGCAGCTACATTTTTCGGAAAATGGTGAATATGTGCGATTTCCACTAAGATGAAAGTGGAAATTAAGTTAATTTACTTAGGAAAGGTTGTATCATGCTGGTGGTAATGGAGAATTGGTTGTATAGGACGCCAATATTCAATAAATGTTCATTTTGGCCTTTTCTAAGCAAACATATTGATATTCACAATTTTCGACGGAAAACGCAACGGAACTTGCTTTTCTCAACACGCACCATACTATAAAATGGTGCTAGATGGTATTCGAAGTGATAACAAGATGACAAATCATCTTTATTTTGAGTAATTGGTCAATTTACTTCTGTTTACATCATATTTACGATGCAGCATTGATGGAGCCCCGAAATGAAATGAATATATCTTATGAAAGTTCAACTGGAAAAGTCAAAGATGCACAGCAGTCTGATCGTAAAAACGTTTTCTTCTTCAATTCGAATGTTATATTGCAAGGCTTTGACACAGGCTTGATGAAAATTATGATTTAACGCTAATTTTCACGAATTTTATATGCAGTCTGTCAACATTATCATCATCATGCAGTGGCGACATCTGCGTTGAGCTTTTAAGGCAATCTTCCAATTATTCCGCAAGGAAAGTGAAATTGCATTCAGAATGCGCCACCTTCATGTCGATCACGATACTAATGTAATCGATCTTTCCTTTACCGATTTCTTTTGAACTGCGTACTGCCATGGGTCAAGAAATGCTGAGGAAAAGTAATTTCTTTTGCATTCCGTGTCCTATCCGGTAGCACATAAAAACGTCATTACTTTTCAGCTGCGTACCAGGCTTTTAACGGTACTAAAGCTTCACAAACATGAATTTAGATGGCCTGCTATGGGAAAACCGCCTCCCAAGAAGAATAAATTTACCTACTCGGCTGTGTAAATTATCGTAGATTTGAAAAATGAACACCGACAATTTATTCACTTATGCCGCTTTAACAGTCGTTACAAAACAAAACAATATAAAATGCCCGCAAAAAAATATCTGCTTCATCGCCTCCTCAAAAATATCACATAGCTATCCTATAATACACTTACAACTTCACCGCTGCCATGGCGATGGTGATCTTATCGAACTTCTCCTGCATCTGCGACAGATAGGCGTCCTTGACGGCGATTTCCTGGACCACGTGACGCTTTACGTCCAGCTCGAATTTTACTCCCCGAATGGCATCCGCCGCGTGGCAATACCGAATGAACTCGAACCAGTTCGGATCCTGCTGCAGGGTTTGCGGATTCCCGATAACAATGAGCAGTGCCTTGGCTCGGGTCAGTGCTACGTTCAAGCGTTTCACATTGCTCAGGAAACCGACCCCGGTGGTACCGGACCGAACTGTGGTCAGAATCATGATCGGTTTTTCGCGACCCTGAAAAGCTTCGACCGAGCCAACATCGATCTCGTTCCACCCATGCCGTTGGCACATTTGCTTCAACTTGATGCACTGCTTCTTGTACGGACTGATAACACCGATGCTGTGTTGCGGTATGGCCCGTTTGTTAATCCCGTTGGAGAGAATCTTTCGAATGTAGAATTCGACCAATTCGATTTCCTTTCGGTTGAAGTAGCTGGTGGAGTCCTGTTCGCGAGCCAACTTGCCCATGGACGACTCGAAGATGATGGGGAACTGGGCCGATGGCAGTTCAGACCAATCGAGGGCCCAATTGACGTCATCCGGCGAGGCACAGGGTTGCAGTTCGTCCTGATAAAACATTTTGTTGGAGAATCGCAAGATGACTTCGTGGGAACGATAGTTCTGTAGGAGTTTAATGATGATGTTGGTGTTGTAGCACTTGGTTGCGGGATCTTTCATGTACACTGGAAGATTCATCAGTCGTTCAAGCATCGAGATACGTAAGCCCATGTTGGCAGCAAATTCCGAACGAGTGACCGGTCCCAGTTGCTTTGGGTCGCCGGACAGGATGATTGAACCATTGAGCTTTTTGGGAGTACTAATGATACCTGCGATGGGAACAAGGGCAGACGCTTCCGTGGCACTGCCACACTCGTCGATGAATACGTATCCAAAGTGGTTTGGTTTGATGCGAGCCTGAACTAGCTTACCGGCGGAGATCAGAGTGCAGATGACGATACGCTTTTCGTATAGTTCCTCATATGAGGGCAGCCGGTAGGATCCGGTGTTGAGATTAGAGCACTCGATCAGCCGGTAGGGTATATCGGCCATCATACGTTCGGCATGTTTGGAGAAAAAGCGCCAGATGTGTTCCTTGGGAACGACATTCAGCAGCCGTTCGGTAAGTTCGTTACAAGCGAAATTCGATGACGCTGTTACGAGGACATGGGCGTTAGGTTTAAGCTTCCAGATTTGGGCAATCGCTTCGACTAATGTCGAGGTTTTCCCCGTTCCGGGTGGCCCAAACAGAATGAACGGTGAAGGCCTGGCCGTTTCGTTGACAATATTGATGACGGCCGTTTTCTGCTCCTTGTTGCTTGCCAAATTGCTGTTGAACCACTCGAATTGATCACTGAAATGGGTTCTTTGAAATTCTATCGCAGAGGGTTTCTCGGATTATGGAATCTTACCTGCCAAAAGCTTTTAACTTTTCCCCTGTCTTGGTTGGGAAAAAGAAGGCACTCAGTTCCTGTCGTTTGACGATATCCAGTGCTTGATACTCCATCCGAATGGGAATTCGGTTGGGGTTGAACTTCATACGCCACTTGATGTCGTATTGAAGTGGTTCTTCCGTTTCGAACAGCACCTTATTGGAGCAAATCTGCGAAATAACACCGACGACGGTTTTGATCGATTTGTTTGGACGCGTGTAGGTCAGTTCAACGTAGTCTCCTTCGACGAGCGATTTTGGAGCTGTTCTGAACTGGTTTAGCTGTGAACAAATTTGAACGTAATTACCAGAAATAATCAACCAATACACTCCATCATACCTGAAGACTGTAGAATCTTTTTGTACCACATGAAGCTAGCTTGACATCATTCATATCGTACCGGGACAACTCATACTGCACGTTATAGTCTTCAATGTTGTTCATTAATTGTAGCATTTCGACGTAATTACCAGCCTTTAGTCGACTTGCTTCGTTAGTATCCAGGAACGACCTTTAACAATATAACAATAGTTAGTTTCGGATCAATCTGATCAAAACCTCAAGCACATTACTGAATTCTCTCACACAGCGTTCGCTCCTTTCCTGAATACGTATCTACCATTTCGAATTTGTTCTTGAAAACGCTCACCATTTCCGTGACGGGGAAATAATCTTTCAACTTTCCCAGTGCGATCGGATTTTGTGTCACCCGCAGCTCAACCGGTTCCTTAAACACCCGAAAGTGATACTGTTCGACGTACTCCAAGATCCGATTAAACTGCACCAAAATAGTGTAGTCATGTTCAGTGACCAGGAACATGCCGGTTGTAATAGAAAACTTATAGCAGTCACGTGGATTGATTGTAATAGGCCACACGTCTCGATTCACCGGCATCAGTTGCTTTGTCGTATGGTACAGATACACACAATCAACGTGTATGGCCGTGTGACTCGCATTACGCATCGTAAACAGCGTTACCGGGCTCAGAGCGTCATAGTGCTGAACTACTTCCAGCTTTTGTTCCGTTCGTAAACAATCACTTCCGAGAGTTATCTTAAAATTATTCTCGTGTTTCGATTCGAAGTGACCCGTGTAGTGCTCCGGCGTTGGGAAACTTAGCCGACAAACAAAACAGTTTCGGGACGATGGTTCGAGTTGATATCTCAGCAATCGTTCGACGGTCATTACGTGCCGGATTTCCGCTAGTGGCCGGTTCGCTTCCACCATGTCGCGAATCTCTTTCAGAGCTTTATCATTCTGAACGAGCGCTTTCTGAGCGATTGCTTTCTTGTTCTGTTTCTTCGCAATAAGCTCTGAAAGTAAATATCCCTCAGTCCCGATCAATACCTAAAATAATCCCATATTCATTACCATCGTTGAGACGTTGCTCGTGATTTTCCAGCAGATCCCGTAGTCGTTCCATGTTAAATTTAAACTGCTGTTGCTCAGCTGTTCCCTTATTTTGCTGCTGCTGCTTTTGTTGCTGCGTCAACCCGTTGCGCGTGATCAGACCATGGTTCATCAACACCCAGCCCAGCTCGTCAATTTTGACTCGAGTGATTCGACGCAGCCGAATATCCTCGAGCAACTTTTCCCGCAGCTTCTTCTTGATAATGCCACCGTCCTTGATAAGATTGTGCCGGTAGATCCGCACCATAAAGGACTCGATTTCGTGTTTTTGACCTGTAAAGCGATTAGAATGCTTATATTTAGCCCAACGCTACTAGGACGGTAGTTACGTTCGAAGCGTTGTTGCATGAATTTGCTCGGAATTAGTTCCATGCTTGTTCCGTGATACTATCGCTAGCAGGGTAAAAACGATGGTCACAAATAAAAGTACTAAAAACAGAGTAAGTACAAGCTTGATAGACTAAACAATAAAAGATAACTAGTAAAAATAAACACGACGATGACTTGCTCAGCGGAAATCACAAAACACACTAAACGAGCGCTGTGATCTGATTAAAAAACAGACAAAAACAGAAAAACGCCTTCCAGACGGCCGGAAACTTCAGTAACTGATTGCTCAGAAAACAAACTAAACAGAGAAGAACGCGGGAAAATGAGACGAGAAGGACGAGAATGAAAGTCTCGCGTCTTTTTTCAAATAGACCAATCTACATTCAAGCTGAATATTGCATTAGGTCCTAAGTAACATTGATCGATTCTCTTCGTCGACTTTCTTTTTCGTTAAGTGGTGGCCAGGGTATACAGTACCAAACCGGTTTCAGTGCTAATGCAGATCCAGTAGTGTGAAACCCAAGAACATAATGTTGGTCGAAGCAATAAAGATGGATTTTTTGAAGCAAAAGATAAAAGAAAAGTTCCACATCGGCCAGCGAATGCTAAAGGATGAAGCTAAAAAGAACAATGCCGAGCCACCAGATCCGAAGCGTAGACGCGTCATCCACGGGTTGTTGGTGATGAAGGATAACAAAATCTTGCTGATGAGCATCGATGAAATCTTCAACGAATATGGAATCAATCGTCATGTAATAAGGTAAACTTTATGCAACTTTATGCCATTTAATTGTGATTTAATCATGGCATTCAAGCACCGACAAACCGACATGACACTTAATTCTGACTTATGACCGAAAATCGTAAACAGCCGATTTAAATGTACAGTGATCCGAACTGTCAAAACCATATACTAATGAAATTCCACACATTTTTATTGACGAATTTCCATGTGAAATTCCACATGATTTTCATGTGACCACACATAAACAGAATCCACCCAGAAGCACACATGAAATTTATGAGTCAAATGAACAGTATGTGTGGTTACACATGGCTTTTATGTGCACACATATTAAGTATGTGTCCGACACATAGAAATCATTTGTTGATCACATTGCAAAAATTCATGTGTGGGACACATAAAAACAATCTTGAAATTTTATCAGTGTAGGTTTTTTTGATCAGTATAAAAATAATTTGTCCAGAATAGATCAGACACGAACCAATTCATAACTTTTGCATGCAGGTTCCGCGAACACGGAGCCAGATGTCAGTAGTGTGCTTTGGTCAGAAATTTTATTGTTTTTGCTATGGTAATTCATGTCGGTTTGTCGGTGATTCAAGCGTGACTCATACACACAAAGATAAAAAAAAAGCTTAAAAAGTATGCAGATTCCCGCTTCATCTTATTGAGTCCGAGCCATGATTACTTCGGCAGTAGTCATGCATGATTAAATTTGAAATAATCTTTCCAGTATTAAATTTTATTCTTTTTCAATACTGATATCGAGACTGATATATAATCAAAAAAGATTAAAATTCAACCAAAAATTATTCAAATAGAATCAAAAATGATTAAAATTTATTCAAAAAAAGATAATCTACAATCTAATCAACCATGATTAAACTGGGATTAATATCAGATGCCTATTTTTTTAGAAAGAGAGGATTAATTTTTAATCATTCGATATGATTAAACTGAGTTTAATGTCAAATTGATTAGATTTCAAGCAAAATGGGAATAGTTCAATTTATCAGTGTATATTATATTTTCCTCGATATTTTCAATGCTTGTTTCAGATTAATTTTGAATGTGAAAATTGACCATTCGGGACCAACCCTGGCTATTACCAAAGATGAATACTAAGATGAAACTGTCGGAAGAAAAACTTTCTATTTTAGTGTCTTCTTTCACGGTCCCTTTCATCCAATGAGAACCCCCCGTATTCAAGGTAATTTTGTGGTTTTGCTGCCCCCTCGGAAGAGATGAAATTTTGCGCTCATTTTTATCAAAACAATCACACCAAAATCAGAGGTGTCCCATTTTTTAATTACTCGATTAACAACTAATCGATTATTTTTTGTTGGCTGTGCTGCCATTTTTCCACGAATGAGAGTACAGCACATGTTTGAAACGATCGGTGATGATCCTGTGGAGATGTTAATGCTTATATCGGCATGATCTAACCGATTATAAATAGTTTACTTTTCGGTTCGTTAATCGATTAAACGATTATTCGAATGAAAATCGGACATCACTAGATACATGTGAAACGTCATTTCAAATATAAGGCCGTTCATAAATAATGATACAATTTGAAAGGGACTGGGGCTAATCACAAATTACGTCTCCATGGTAACTGAAATAAACACGAGTGTTCACCGGTTGCTATTACCGACGAAAACAAATCAAGAATACTGGCAACTCTTCCATTTTCTCATACGAACGCTATGAGACAGGTAAAGTCGCGTCATCTACCGCTCAAAGGTAAGTGCTTCGAACGAATTTGATAGCAAAGATTACATCCTCAGAAGAAAGGTTTGTGTATTTGCTCAATTTTCTATGCGTTACTTCCACCTTGACTCAAGCGCAGCGCTATTGTATCTGTCGCTTGGATCCTGGCAAAGTTGCCACCCTAATAAAAATAACCATAAAAGAGAGCTTAACGACGTGTTCGGGGTATCATCCAAACCATTTGTGGGATAGTTTACCCATCCGGGATACAGTTCGTTTATGGTATTTGTTTATTAGGGCAGTCTTCTTGATATGATGTCTTCGCTATTATTGCACGTTTCACACCAAATTGGACTAATAAGCGCGTTTTCACTTATTAAAAAGTGTGATAAAACTGCAAGTTTACGTCTAATCGTCTTGGTGTCTTCGGTGCACTTATTCCTTATGATGCAAGCAATAAGTGCTCCGAAGACATCAAAACTATTTGACGGAAACGTGCACTTTTATCACACTTTTTGCATTTTTGGGACAGTCCAGATTCAGATGCAATCAGCAATACATAATTCAGTGCTAACATTTCAAAGGGGCGTAATTGCATTTGTAAACAATGGCTTTAGCCATCGATTTCTCGTGAATAAGGCTCTGAACCATTTGGTGGATTATTTTAAGTTTTGGTTAAAATTTGACAGATGAAAAGTTATCGATTAACCCTGCTATCCGAGCATGGTTATTTCTGACAGACAAGAAGTTAAATTTTGACAACCGTGGCTCGAAAACCGGTCGATCGACAGCACGGGGATTTTCGAACATAGAAAATAACTTTCGAAATGTCACTTTTAACCACGAGTTAAATTTAACTTGGCAAATGGTTCACAGCCTAAAAGCTCACTCATGAAAAATAATGACACCAGCAGGTAGAGAAATGTTTTCTCTACCAGTTAGCATTGTCATTTTGGTGAGATAAGATTTCATTCGCGAGAAATTGACGGCTAAAGTCATTGTTTACAAAAGCAATTACGCCCCTTTGAAATGTTGGCACTGAATTATTTCATAAATCAGCTTGAATTACGTTCATCCTGTTGTCAAATGAACAACATCGACATGAATCCGATCGACGTTGTTCATCTGTCCCTCTGTTGTTGATCGTCCGATTTTCGAGAAGGTGCTTGTCAAAATTTATTGGTCTGTCATAAATAAACCTGTTACAATAGCAGGTTTATTTGGAGAATTTTCATCTGTTAAATTTAAGTGAAAATTCATTAAATAGAACACAGCTTATAAGCTTATAAACCACTTTTTTTTATTGTAGCGTAATATATGAGTGACCCAGTGGAACTTGCAAATTCTTCAGCTTTACCACATGGGCCAGTCGGTGACATTTGCGAAAACAAGAAGTGCGTGCAGTAGTTTCCGACAGATTCAGCACCGATGGTGCAAAATCATCATCATCGATGATCGTTATTTTCGTCCGTCGTCGTCGTCGCGAATGAAAGGAGCAGAAAATATTTTTCAAACCATCGGAGCATTATTATTGCCAGTTCTCAAGTGTTTAAATGGGTGAAAAGTAGTAAATTTTACAATTTCGAATCCGCAGATCCAATGGTGAAGTGTGTTACGTTATGTTTTGGTGAAAATCAGTTAAGCTAGGCTGTAGAGTGTAGGAAAACGTATGGATTTTAGTTGCCATCAGCAACTCGAGTAGATCGAAAAGATGGATGCAAAGCATTAGGAAAGAGTTTGACCTTTTTCCGTCTTGTCTGACAACTAGTGAACCTAATAGGTATTATTGGTCCACTTGAATGCAAAGTGTGTTATTCTGAGCGTTAAAAGATTGCGTGAATCTGACCAGATCTTCCAAGTGAAAGTGGTGAAAATCGTCTTTGTTGTCTGGCGTTTGGAACCCGTTCCCGTTCCATCATCATCAAGAGTATTTATCTGGAGTTGATTGGCATCATCGTCATAGAGTGACAAGAAGAAAAATCCACTTTGGGGGAAAAATATTACGAGTTCATCAACCAGCGTAAAATCAAAACAAAGGCATTGTTCTGCTGTTGTTGTTGATTTCGTGTGCGGGTGGAGAAAATCGTTCAGGAATCAGCTGCTACACAAAGTGAAAGGATGGAGTCTTGCGGTGCCGTGGAAAAGGAAGTTGACAAAGTCATTACCAAGTTCTCCGCCATGAATGATCACTCACAGCGCGTTATAGGCGATGTTATCGTCCTAATTGAGAAGCTGCGTTCATCCATTGCGGAAGGTGAGTATTTGTTGCTATGTAGGCAATTCAATTAATGACTGTAATAAACATAGAGAGTTTTCTATAACATAAGTTGAATAAAACACAACCTACCTACATCGAGCAATGTATAGCTTGGCGCAAACCTTCATTCAACGTTACGCTACAATGGTACACTTTCTTATGAAAAAATAATTTCTTTTTGTGGCTGGCTTCTGGTTATTTAATAAAAATATGCCACGCAATTCACACGCACTCTTAAAGCTGGGACGGGACCGATTTTTTTCTTTCGTTTTCTTATGATCGTTCGTTTGGAGTAGGAATTTCTCTGAATCACTCGAATCGACGCATATATATATTTAATTAATTATTTCCCTTTTGCAGCTCCAGCGGATGAACAACTCACACCCGGCCAAATCGATGTCCTGCATGATGCGATGGCCAAAACGAAGGACAAGCTGCAGCGTTTGACTGCGGAGCACCGCGATCTACACGGCACCGTCAGCAAGGTGGGCAAAGCGATCGACCGTAACTTTGTAGCCGACTTTACTGCCACTTCACGTACTGACGTATTCCAAGCGGAAAGAAACGTGACCCTGTTGAATAAGATTATGGCCCAGCATTTCTATCGCCAGGGTATGGACGATGTGGCCCATGCACTGATTAAAGAATCCGGTTTGCCGGCCGAGGAAATCACTCCGGAACCATACGCAGAATTGCATCGAATATGGGAAGCAATTCATAATCATAATCTTGGGCCGGCACTCGAATGGGCCTCACGCCACTCAACAGAGCTAGATGCTCGAAACAGTTCCCTGGAATTCAAACTGCACCGACTAGCTTTCATGCAGATTTTGAACGGAGGTATCCATGCTCAAACTGAAGCGATTACATATGCCCGTACCAATTTCTCCAAATTCGTACGACGATACGAAAAGGAGATCCAAATCTTGATGGGCACATTGATCTATCTTCCGATTGGTATTCAAAACTCGCCCTACAAATATCTAGCAGCACCGGAAATGTGGATTGAAGCGGCAGATGTGTTCCTCAAGGATGCCTGCACGCTGCTGGGAATCAACAAGGATTCGCCGCTTTCCGTGATTGTTAACGCAGGTTGCACCGCCTTGCCGGCGTTGCTCAACCTTAAACAGGTCATGATGTCCCGCCAGGTGACCGGTATCTGGAACGGACGGGACGAACTGCCGGTATGATGGTATATTATGCTCTGAAACTGGAACCACCTCCACTAATGTATTTGAACTTTCACAGATTGAAATTGATCTCGACCCGGAGAATCGATTCCACTCGATCTTTGCCTGCCCGATTCTGCGGCAGCAGAGCTCCGAGGACAATCCACCGATGAAGTTACTCTGCGGTCACGTCATATCGCGTGACGCGTTGAGCAAACTGAGCAACGGGCCGATGTAAGTACTTTGCACAAATGTTTGATTGCTAAAAATCTTAGTATAAATAATAGTTTCTATTGTTGTTTCACTTACTAACAACGGAGTAAACGAGGCTTTCATTGCTTATTAGGTTAAATTAATTAAGTATTCTTCGGAATAAGTCGTTTAGTGTTGTTACATTATTTTACTTTCTTAAAACTTGGAATGGAAAACTACACAATGTTGAAAGCCCTAACAGGCTTCATATTTTTTGCTTCAACTGGAGCCAATGGAAGAAGCGGTGTTTGCTTCTATATGCAGAACATTCTCAGATACATTCTGAGCTTCGTACATTAAGTAAATCGCCAGATGTGAGAAGAAAAAATGATTCCGTCAATCATGTGCTAGATCAGTTTGATGTAGGTATGTCTTTTTGGCATACAATGGGGGAATTTGAATTCTCAAATGGTTCCCAATGATTTCTGGAAAATAGCGGCCGGTAGGTTTGAACTATAAAGCAATACCAGGTTGGAGGCGACTGTGTTCGTTTCCCGGTTCGGACTTCAAATCGAAGTCCCTCGTTTTTAGCATTCTCGACAGAAGTATTGCTGGCTAAGCTCTGCTCCAACCAGAAAACCAATGAGCTGGATTACCGAGGTGAAGCAAACGGTTTAGATTTTTTGGTTTACTTATACAACCATATTTCACGATCTGCTTCACCTCTCTCTGTACTTCATTGTCAGAAAACGGTGCAACTCTGTTTGGGGAGGGGCTTTAAGTAATCTTTGTGTTGATAATGCTAATAAGGCGAAGTTTTGAACGTGAATCTAAAGTTATAAATAAGGATACCTGAAATTTGTTCAGCAACAGCTACTCTGTTTTGAAGTCTGTTAGGGGGAAATCACACATCATGTGTTATCAAAATGTATGGAAAGTTGAAAGTTGAGAGATTGAGCTCGTCAGAGAGAGAGAATTATGTGAGAGACAAAATAGCTTTCTCTCTTGGTAGTAAACTTGTGAAGAGTATGGGAACGACACAGTTCGTTTTTACAGTAAATTAACAACTATTTTAAGATAAAAGTTGTACCAGAGGGTTGATTTTTTCTACCTCTTTGTGAACACGTTAATTCTTGATTATTGGTTGTGATTGTGAGACACATTCAAGTCTTTTTTTTTTTGGGTAATGTCAGCCTAGGCTTTAATTCGTCCTATCAAGCAAATAACTCACTAATTCGGCAATAATACACAATAGTAATGAAATACTAATACCACATCTGCTGTGAAATTGTAATCCGTAAATTAATTGCCTATTTTTTGGGACAAATTTAGAACATTTTCAACATGATTTTGCCATTTTGCTAAATTTGAGTAGGATCTCTCATATCCATCAAATGTAGGGTACCCATTTGGGACCACCAATGCACTGAGGTTTATCGTAAAAAGTTCGACGCGTTTAAGCTTTTCCGGAAACGTGGAACACCCGTGCATTTCGAAGCGTACTTGGCTCTTGAACGCGAACTCAAAAACCTCATCAAAGCCAAGAAACGCGGATACTGGCGGCAATTCGTGGACGGGTTATCGCGCGAAACGTCGATGAATACGCTTTGGAACGCGGCGCGAAGGATGCGTAACCGGTCTTCGAACAACGAGAGCGAGGAGTACTCAGATCGTTGGATTCTCAAGTTCGCGCGAAAAGTATGTCCTGATTCCGTGCCGGCACAGATGATTCCTCGCGAAACGACGAATTCGGTAGACGAGATCAGTCAGCCTTTTTCAATGCTGAAGCTCTCACTCGCACTCCTTTCGTGTGGCAATTCGGCTCCGGGGGCTGATAGAATCAAGTTCAACTTGTTGAAGAACCTCCCAGACGTCGCTAAGAGGCGCATGTTGAACTTGTTTTGTCAGTTGCTAGAGCTCAATATTGTTCCGGATGATTGGAGGCAAGTGAGAGTTATAGCAACAGTTATAGCCATTAAAAAGCCTGAAAAACCCGCGTCAGATCATAACTCGTATCGTCCCATCGCGATGTTATCGTGCATTCGAAAATTGTTGGAGAAAATTATCCTTTTTCGCTTGGACAAATGGGTTGAGACGAACCACCTACTCTAAGATACTCAATTTGGTTTCCGTAGGGGCAAGGGAACGAACGACTGTCTTGCGTTGCTTTCCACAGAAATTCAGTTGGCTTTTGCTAAAAAGGAGCAAATGGCTTCTGTATTCTTGGATATTAAGGGGGCTTTTGATTCAGTATCGATTGAAGTCCTGTCAGACAAACTCCACGTTTGTGGCCTTTCTCCATTAATTAATAACTTTTTGTACAATTTGCTGTCAGAGAAACATATGAACTTTTCTCATAGAAACTCTACAGCTTCTCGATTCAGTTACATGGGTCTCCCCCAGGGCTCATGTTTAAGCCCCCTTTTGTATAATTTCTACGTCAGAGAAATTGACAATTGTCTAAGTGACAACTGCACGTTGAGACAACTTGCAGATGACGGAGTAGTGTCAATGACAGGGCCCAAAGAGGTCGACCTGCAAGGACCCTTCCAGGATACCTTACATAATTTGTCTACTTGGGCTATCGAGCTAGGTATCGAATTCTCCTCGGAGAAAACTGAGTTGGTCGTTTTTTCTAGGAAGCATAGCCCAGCACAACCGAAGCTTCAACTTTTGGGTAAGCCGATCACTCATTCTATGTCTTTCAAATATCTTGGGGTCTGGTTCGATTCAAAATGCACCTGGAGATCCCACATTGAGTATCTGAGACGAAAATGCCAACAAAGGATCAATTTTCTCCGAACAATTACCGGAACGTGGTGGGGAGCCCATCCGCAAGATCTTCTAACGTTGTACCGGACAACGATTTTATCGGTTTTAGAATACGGTAGTTTTTGTTTCCAGTCGGCGGCTAAAACTCACATCATCAAACTGGAACGTATCCAGTATCGTTGTCTTCGTATCGCGTTAGGATGCATGCACTCGACTCATTCGATGAGTCTAGAGGTGTTGGCGGGTATGTTGCCACTATCGGATCGGTTCTCGGAATTGTCCCTCAGGCTCCTCACCCGTTGCGAAGTTATGAACCCACTGGTAATCGAAAACTTTGAAAAGCTTCTTGAGCTGAACCCTTAAACTCGTTTTATGTCATTGTACTACGTGTACATAACACAGGATGTCAGCCCTTCACAGCATAATCCTCATCGTGTATGCTTCTCCGACTTCGGCAATTCAGTTAGTTTAGATTTATCTATGACGCGGGAGATTCGTGGAATCCCAGAACATCATCGTTCCATGATTGTTCCGTCAATTTACGCTGCAAAGTTTGGCCAAGTTGATTCCGCAAGATCGTTCTTCACAGATGGATCACTAATAGAGTCGTCCGCTGGTTTTGGTATTTTTAACAAATTTCATAGCGCCTCTTTTTTTTTTTTTTTTTTTAACTCTTTATTTGTTCCAAATTCAAAATAAATTACATTTCATTTTAACCTAGGTGCTCCAGTTACTGCAGTAACGTACCAGCCTTAATTGTTATGATATATATCTAAGTGTTTTTACATTGTTCATGTCTTGGCAATTCAGTATTTTAAACAGGTTTTTTAACCTGCATGTCAGTATAACAATTGATATCTTAAAACTAAAAACTAAAACTAAATCTTATCTAAGTATAAAGGGAATTAATCGTTGCAATTGAGGATTGCAACGATTTTTGCCTGAAATTATTAATTATTTTGTTGGAAATTTGTGCTAAAGTCTCAACATTCGAAATTCTATGTACTTCGGTTGTACTGTACCAGGGAGGCAACTTCAAAATCATTTTCAGAATTTTGTTCTGAATCCTTTGAAGTGCTTTTTTCCTGGTAGTGCAGCAACTAGACCATATTGGCACAGCGTAAAGCATGGCCGGTCTAAAAACTTGTTTAAATATTAGAAGTTTATTCGTCAGGCAAAGTTTGGATTTCCTGTTTATAAGAGGATACAAACATTTTATATATTTGTTACATTTGGCTTGAATGCCCTCAATGTGATCTTTAAAAGTTAATTTTTGGTCAAGTATTAATCCAAGATATTTCACTTGGTTTGACCAGGAAATTGGAACTCCGTTCATAGTGACTATGTGACTATTACTAGGTTTCAAAAACGAAGCTCTAGGCTTATGTGGAAATATTATAAGTTGAGTTTTGGAAGCGTTGGGAGAAATCTTCCATTTTTGTAAATAAGAAGAGAAAATATCTAAACTTTTCTGCAGTCTGCTGCAAATAACACGAAGACTTCTTCCTTTAGCGGAAATGCCTGTGTCATCAGCGAACAAAGATTTGTGGCAACCCTGAGGAAAATCAGGGAGGTCCGAAGTGAAAATGTTATACAATATAGGCCCAAGAATGCTACCCTGAGGAACTCCTGCCCTAACAGGTAGTCGATTAGATTTGGAATTTTGATAATTTACTTGAAGAGTTCTGTCAGTTAAATAATTTTGAACTAATTTCATAATATAAAGTGGAAAATTAAACTTTTTCAATTTAGCAATCAAACCTTCATGCCAAACACTGTCGAATGCTTTTTCTATGTCTAGAAGAGCAACTCCAGTTGAGTGGCCTTCAGATTTGTTTGAACGAATTAAATTGGTAACTCTTAAGAGTTGATGAGTAGTTGAATGCCCATGGCGAAATCCAAACTGCTCATCTGCAAAAATTGAGTTCGTATTGATGTGAAGCATCATTCTATTCAAAATTATCTTTTCAAAAAGTTTACTTATTGAAGAAAGCAAACTTATTGGGCGGTAGCTAGAAGCTTCAGCTGGATTTTTATCCGGCTTCAAAATTGGAACAACTTTTGCATTTTTCCATTTATCAGGAAAGTATGCCAAATGGAAACATCTGTTAAATAATTTTACCAAGAAAGACAAGGTACTCTCTGGGAGTTTTTTGATGAGGATATAGAAAATTCCATCATCACCTGGAGCTTTCATATTTTGAATTTTTTTAGTTATAGACCTTACTTCGTCCAAATCAGTCCCCCAGGAATCATCAAAAATATTTTCC